GTTCGTGGTTTGGGTGAGGGCTCATGAGTCAAATCTAAGGATGGTATGGGTTTGGATTCGACTAATGCGGACTCCTCAGCACTCGTATGACTTTTGCCTAGAGAGTTCTAGTTCTCATGACGAAGGGAGTGTCTTTCTAAGAGGTTTTCAAGGAATTTTACTTGTTCCATCATGTTTTTATGTGTAAAACGACCTCCGGCAGTCACGTCTAGGCATAGGTCAGCATCTATGTCAAGACCTGAACAAAAGAGATGCAAAATCACGCCATCAAGTAATGACAAATCTGGGCCAGCATGTATTAACATTGAAAACCTGGCCCAGGCTACACCTATAGTCTCCTTCTCATTCTGGTTGAAGTCAAGGATTGCCCTTGGTAGAGAGACGATATGAGATATAGGGCAGAATGCAAGACAAAACTTACCCTTAAGTTCATTTCAAGCTCCATTCATGCTCTCTATGGCTTGAGTGTACCATTGCTTCGTCTTCTCTATGAGAGAAAAGGGAAATAATGTCCATCTTAGTGTTTCCTGTGTCATGCCTGAGGTGCTCAGGCACGAACACATCTCCTCGAATTTATGCAGGTGATGGCAGGGGTTTTCATTATCGTGCCCTGAGAAGGGTTGTGCCCGAACCATGGCTATTAAACTACGGTGGAGTCCACTGCCAGATAAAAGGTTTGATTTTGAAAGTGGCTCAGGGAACTCCCCCTTTGAAGCGGTAGGATTTGGATTTGAAAATGGCTTCACGATGGAAAAGATAAAAGAAAATATTTTGTTTTGTTATAAAAAAGGATACAGATACGAAGACAAACTAGGTTCGAAGAAAATATAGCAACCGTTCCCAGCAACGGCGTCAGAAAGCTTGTTGGTATTTCTTAACGTCTACAAAAGTTAATTCGCAAGCGTACGAAATTACCGTTGTAACTTTCACCCGAAAGTATTCAAGGTATCGTATTTTTCGCAAGGAACGGAGGTATTTCTTCTAGCTAATTCATCCAAGAAGAACACATGGATAGAGTTGATAGATGTTAAGATGGATTTCTATGGTTCGAGAGTCTATGGATAGATTAACGCTACTTCTACTTGCTTACTTCGGGCACCGGGTAGCACTTGATCTGCCAAGTGAGCTCGGTCCGTATCCAGACATGGGTGATTACAAAGGACGGATAGGGCTGCCACCACCTGCCGCCTACCCCTGAACCGTGGAGTACGAGGCAAACGAAGGTAGCCTCTAGCCTAGACTCCACATCTACGCTATCGATTACTACTCTAGCATTGATCAGGGCTATCCGTGTTTATCAGGAGCCCTCTACTAGAGTATCTGTCACGGGGATGGACGACGAACCCGCAAACAAGTAAGAGTATAGCTTAACTAATCAAAAGACTTTATAACCAAAAGAACCACGGACACTCACTTAGCGGAAGATCCGTTGAGGTACATGTGTTCGTCGAGGTACAAGCAGGGCAAGACCGACTGGTCCGACACTTCCCCGAACTCTCCCTCACATCTCTCCATACTACTTTTGTCTAGATAGCTATGGCCTAAGCCTTAGAGTGTTGCTCTTGCTTCTTGCTCTCTTTCTTTGTGTGTTGTTGAAATGAGGAGGGCTCTCCTCCTTATATAGTGTTCAAGAGGTTGGTTTGGAGGACTATTTTTGGAAGATCTGCATGCAGCCGCCTTGGAGGAGCCCCCAGGAGATGCCACGTGGAAGGGGAAGGCGGTACCTACATGCTGGGGTGCGGCCGCACCCAGGTGTTGCCTCCCCATGACCGCCTTCCACATGGCGGTTGTATGTTGGGCCTAGACCACTTCCACGTGGGTTTGTGGCCCAGATTCATCTAGTGAGCGGGCCTTCTCTATAGTTATTTGCATAGAGTCTGCTTTTGCGCTTTTCTGGTTGCATACTTTGACTCTTTTTCCACATATTCCATGTTTGTGTCCTGTAAATGAACAATTCACCAAAACTCATGTAATTTGTTAGTTATAAGCCCTAATTCTAAGTTTGGTGTTTATTTGAGCATATTTTATATGAAAGTTGGTGGTTAGAAATTAGAGTTAAGGGCCGCCAACAACTAGCCAGAACCCCGCGGCAATTGCCGCGGGCTAGGCAGAGTCTGCTGACATAATTGTTTTTTTTCCTCTAAAGCATACATGCATCAATTGTTTATGGTGTGCATAGGTAAGTGTAGCAAAAGGTAAATTCTCTGAGATATGAACACATGAAAGTTGATTCTCTCCATAGTAGCACTCCAAAAAAACACATTTATAGACCGGAAGCATGACAAATTGTGTACCAAATACTCACTCACCCTTTTCCATATATATCTCGAGCTGAGAAAATGGTTAATCAACCGATCTCACCACTCAACTAACAGTTCATGCTAGGGGCAGCTTGCACTTTATAATCCGCACTATTCAGCTTGTTTTTTCAGCCGGAACAATGTTTTTCTCTCATAACAATTCAGCCAGAATAGTGTTTTCAGCCAATTCAGCCAAGTTTCAGCAAGCCGAACGGGGTCTATACCGATAAATACATTAAAATGTAGGAGTCTTACATGGCAGAAGGAGCAGCACCATTTTCTCAGCACCATTTTCACAGCAGCTTGACGAAAGAATTTGAATGTTGCTGTGCATGTTCATACACATAGCCACGTTCAGGAAGGACGCTGTAGATGAACTTTTCCCTGGACTGGTGTTTGCCATGGCATGCAAGCTGCTGTGTGGATTGGCACATAAGGAAAATGTTTTAGTAGGTAGATAGAATAACATTTCTCATTAAAATGGTAAGCCACAGATAATCCTAGTCGTACAGCTGACCACTGTACTAATTGAATTAAAACGATTGTAATACATAGCAGAGTAGGAAGGAATGGTTAATTCCATGGTATGCCACATATTTTCATATGCATCCACTAACTAAAGAGGATGTAATGACATAAAAAAAAGGTTCATGTATTTTTGGGGAAGGCCCAGAAAACGTAGAAAATCTCAGGTTCTATTGTTCTACAAATGGCTCACATGTGCTTTAGGCAACATAAGCCTTAAGTGCCACCTAGATGCAAATTAATAAGTAGGCATCAAACTAAGCAGCAGCATAAACCAAATCAGTAAGAACTCATTAGTTTAATTTCATGGTATGTCACAGATATGTCCACCTAAATTCACCAACTATAAGTCCTGGAATAATTATGAATTAATGTCACAAAACATGTATCATGTATTTCAGTGCAAGGCATAGGAAATGTGCAAATGTCAGGTTTTATTGTTTTGCAAATAAATGCATATGTTTTAGGCGATATATGGAGGCTATGTCATAGCAGGATAATCTAGAACCACACATGCAAATAAATTTGAGCTGCATAGGTGGCCTGGACGCTGAAAATGCTGGTTAGCAGGATGGCACTACAAAATAGTAGATAATATAGTGATTAGCAGGAAAGCAGTACAATCGTTGGTGGGGAAACCGTACAAATTTGTTAGTAGAGTGCAAATCTAATGGTAACCACGACCCAATGCTTATGGGTATTATATGTTGTATGCAACTATGACATTCATGTTATTATCAGTAATGGCAGGGTACATGAGAGTATGAGAGAAAAACTAAAAAGTTCTTTTCTTCTCTCTAATTGAACTTCTGTAAGTACTGGCATGTAGTTTAACCAGTACAGGCGGTCCCTTTGCTGACATTAGTAAAGATATTTTTTTATTAATTGCAGTTAACACATCATTTATTTCATAGACTAATTCCCAAATTGCAAAGCTCAGATTATTTCCAAAGATGTAGACTAATAAAAAGTGAAAGACAAATAATTTCACCTTTGTGAAGGGTTGAGTGCAATTGCAGTACCAGTCTCATAGGCTATAAGACATTCGCTGTCGCTATTGCATACATGGCTGTATCACATACCTGACAGTGCACAACAATCTCTGTTAGTAGAGCCTAACTAGCAGTGTGCCTTGCAAAAAAAAAGTAACAATGTCAAAGGTATTATATGTCTGAAATGGTAGTGGCAAAAACAATGCATGGTGCTGTTTTATGTAAAAAATGTTTTATCAAATATTTTTCTTTGCACTCTGCAGTTCAGGATGGACTTAATTTTACTATAGCTTTTTTATTCAACAGACAGTAAAGCCCATTTTTGCTCTGAAATATGACATCTTAAAGTGCTTCATTAAAAATCATGTTGTCATGCCTAACAAATTTATTGTATTAGAACTAACAACATTGTAAATATTTCGTAAGAGATTATTGACTAACAGATAACTAGATTAGCAGGAAGACTACACTTTTTAATACCAAAATTCATGCATATAGTAGTAACCACCATGTAGCAACTATGTACTGATTGCCATAGAAAATGACTCTACCTCATCATTTGTTCTGACGATGTATTTGTTTTTTCTACTGAACAATCACTTTTAAGATTTGATTCATTGCACGCACAAGCATATACCAGGTAAGGTGTTAAATAATTAAGAATTAATATTAGGACCTAAAAACAATTGAGATGTCAGGCAAATACCAAATTCTTTAGTCAGACAAGGTTTACATGAATGAGATATTTAGTCAAGGTTCTGAGCGTGCTTGATTGTTTGTCATTGCATTCAGCAGACTACTGTGTGGAGTGTGCTCACCTTGATATTGCTGTAGACTTTGAGGTTTAGGTAGACACACATAGCGTAATCTCATGAGGCTATGCAAACTTTATGCCAACCATTTTAGTTTCAGGTTCCACATGCTGCTCCGCTGCTATGTGAACTGAAATTTCAAGGAAAACAATGCAATTCAGCTGTAGGGACGCACAAGTGCAGCTCAAACTGAAAATTGATCAACAGAAAATATGGCAACAGCTTAGCGAGATGATGCTTAGTAATTTGAAGGACAAAAGGATATCAAGCAGGCGAAAGGAAGGCAATGAGAGTGGCAATAGTAGGCAGTCAAGGTTCGAAATGCTGAGGTACAGTGTACCTGATGCAATGTGTTTATGTCTGGAAGATGCTCATTCATCCCTTATTGTTTTCCTTCCATCAGCTTTTCTTTTTGCTCCCTGCAGCCAACAAAAGACATATGCTGCATAACATGAAAATTTGAGATGGCATCACTCAAGGTTTCCTGTAAATGGTCGTCTGAACACAGAAAGCCCATATTTGAAGATAAGAAAATGAACCTATGAGATACTCAGAACAAACCTTTGGTCATTGATATTCAAACCATCCTACAAGTAAGAGGCATTTAATTAAACACCATGAACAGGGAAAAAAACTTGGAACTAAATACCACTACAACACACATGACCTTCTGCGACAATCAGCTATTGTCGTTGAACACTAAATTTATGTCAAGTTACGGATTTGGTGACGTGAGCGCGACGAATTCCCATTTGTCGCCTATCTAACGTATTTAAACACCTTTGGTGACGAACACAGGTTTTTTTTGTCGCTAAACTTTCGACAATACTGCTTCGTCACTAAATTTGCGACAATGGCTATTGTCATTGTTTTAGGAAGAATTGTCACTAACTATTTAGTGCCATGATGCCACATGGCAAGATCAATATAAGCAAATACATAATACACAGATCAATATAAGCAAATACATAATACAATGTAGGTCACAAATTGATCATATCATTGAACAGTTAATTAATTAAAGTTCAAAGTCACCAACCAAAGTTACAGTAGCAGGTCATACAATACATGTTTCAATGATCATATCCACTGACAACAACAACAAACCACAATACTAATTTTGTTCACAGGCCACAATACATCTCACAGACCATATGATGCACTGACCAAAATTATAGCAGCCACAAGTTCCAAAGTTTAAAGGCCGCACAATACTTCTCAGAGGTCGCAAAACAATTAAACCAGAATCATGATTCAAAAGTTAGAGCTACTAATACTAGGGGCAAACAACCAGCAACCAAACCAAGTTCAATCATCCCTAGGACCAAGCATTTGACGAAGGAAGGACATGGTTTCTTGTGATGCCTTTTTTATTTTTTCGATCTCCTCAGCCTGTTTTGCCCTTGCCATTTCTGACTCTTTCTTTAAAGTCTCCATTACCATTTCTGATTCTTTCTTCATGGCTTCGAACTCATGCCTAAGGTCTTCTTTTAAATTTTTTTTCAATTTCAAGATCAGCCCGAAGCTGTTGCACCTGTGCATAAACACCGTAAATATGTCGGTGGCTTTACTAAGAAATAAATCATCTATTATTCTCTTAGAAGCAATAACCACTCAAGGCAGCAAGGCAAAATATTTGTTTACTGAACATTATTATGTGCAAACTGAACAGCTAAGTACAAGTAGGTTCAAATTGAGTTTATTGTTTTCATGTGCAGGACAGCTAGGTACAAGTTGATTTAAACTGAACAGCTAAGTCGAAGATCAAGAATGCTAGCATCAGTATGATGCTATTCGTTGGCCATTGGCCCAATTTAGCCGCTATTTGTTAGTTCTGATTAGTTATTACTTGATGTACATTAATCATTCTCCTACACTGTAGTCCTTAAAGGCTGCGTGTAACTTTTAAGTAAGTTGCTAACCTGTCTGTTAATCCATTCCTATCTTGCACTGATTCATCAACCAATGCATTAGGTGGCAACCTATATTCCAGGATCAATCAAAGAAGTAGAATGAAACTCTGTTTTTAACAAATTAACTGGCTTCTAATATTCACTAATGGTGTATTACTGTATTCTAGAACAATTGAATTTGTGTGCTGATGAATGAGGTGTCGCCACCAGGGATACTTCATAATAATATTTCAAGCAAGGACTAAGTAAACAGCGCTGAATGATGATATTTTTTCTAGTGCAGTTCATCGACTCATTGATCCCCTTTAAAATGTTCATTCTGTTGATACCAAAATAAGGGGCTATATATTCAATTTTATTATTTTGGTACCTCACATTTTTTAAGTGTTAAATAAGGTAGATATTTTCTGTAAAGAAAATAACTTCAGAGCATGCATGGTAGGGACTTGATGCACTTGTACCTTTGAGGAAGTGCAACCTTTAGAGCTATTGTTGGAGTTTGGTTGAATTCCTGCAACTTGAAGAAATGTAGTTGATTTCACAACTTGAGAAACAACATGGTTCACTAACTTTGGTTGCTCTTCATCTTGTACTGGTTCAGCCATGATCGCTTCCATATTAGCCTAGCAAAAAAATTACAATAGAGACTCAAATTTTGTGTGCAGTTCATTTTTTCAAATGTACGTCATGTAGCAAAGAAGGAAACAATCTGCAACATGTACGCAAAACTATGGGAATAGAGAAGAAGAATCAGTCACTCACAATAGCTTTCTTGATAGGCTCACTGAATCCTTTGTTCTTGCTGCAGTGGAAGTCCTTGAAAAGATCAATAGCAGTAGGCTTAATGAGATTATATGCCTTTGTAAAACCCAAGAGCCTACATAAATGCTGCATGTTTAATTAACTTTTCATATTAGACACTGCAAGTTGTATAACAAGGATGACTTGTTGCATGCACAAAAAAATGTTCTTACACAAGAAGTTTTGCAAGATTAAACATCCAGCAAATATAAACCCAAAGGAGAATTTAGTTAACCTAGCTACCTAATCATTCATCTATTTAAAGGCTATTACATATCAGCACGTCTGTACAAATTCAACCACATAAACAATTTTCAAAGGCTCAAAAATAACCCATCAGCACGTCTGTACAAATTCACAATCGATCAAAAAGCAACATTTAGTTTAGTTGACCCTATCAACAGGATACAACATTCTACAAAAATGAAGGAGTTCAAACATTCCCGGACAAAGAATAGAACTAGGAATTTAACAGAACATTCAGAGAAGTCTGCTAGCACCTCAAAAACCATTTACAGAAGCTTAAATGATCTGCTAGTCGATAATGCTAAAACATAGAGACAAAACTTCTGATTTGCAAGTATGAACACACATAAAAGTGACATGCATCCCAACCATTCTGCAAGCATGAGACTTTTTAGTAAGTTTTGTAAGGTCATTGACATTAGAAAAAAGTTCAGACCCAATTCACTAGTAGGAAAAAAATAAGTTGACATTCAATTGTTTGATCAGTTTTCCATTCTTTTGCCATCGACCAAAATCAATGTTCCATTCTCTAACCATCCGAATCGATGGAAGCAATTGACCAAAATGCTACCGACTATAAGCACTAAAAAAGCAAGCAGCAGGCATCAACTACAATCTATATATTCTTCCTTCTCTACTCTCCTCTCCATGAGCACAGCAACCATTGAGGCACTAGGACTAAGGGAACATGAATAGGAGCTAGAATCATCTCATCGGCAACTCCACGCACCTCATCCCCTCTTGAAAAACTGAAATCCCACTCCTCCCCATTAGCTCCACGTCACCACATGGTGGGCTAGCAACCCCCTCTCCCCATGGGCCACCCTGCGGGTGCTCCTCCTCCTCCTAGGCTGGAATTGGCTGCTCCCGCTCACTTCTATCTGACGTTGCTAGGCGGGGCTGTCCGTGAGCCACACCGCCAAAGAAGTGGGGGGGGGCAAGCCCCAGCCCCAGACTCCCAGAGGGGGCGGCTGGCAGCTGCAGCATGCAGGGCGCAAAGACATGTGTGAGGCCCGCCATACACCTCCCCCAACCTCAAATCTAGATCCATGGTGAGATGGGTATGGTAGAGAAATTACCTATGAAGTTTCGAGTCCCTGGGGGCTTCCTTCCTCTTCCTGGAGCCATGCCGGTCTTGCGGCGGGGAAGGGTCTTGGCGCAGGGAAGCAGAGGCGACGGAAGGGAATGAGGAGGACGCGGCGGTAGAAAGATGGGGCGGTGGCTGGAATGAGGAGGACACGGTCAGGGTAACATGTGCAATGTGCGAAACATTTTACTCTACTACCCTCTAAACAAGCGGGTAAGCCAAAAAATTTTTGCTGAAGTACGCTCGCTCATGGAAAGAGTGGCGCGCAGGGCCAAAAAGTGTGGTGCGTTGGATTGTTGACGTTTTTTTTGCTTCGGTTTGATTCACGTTGTATACACTGCATTTAATCTTATTGCATCTGACAAAAAAACACCGGTGTACTAATTGCATCTGACAAAAAATCAAAGCTAAACTAAATTACATCAAAAGGAACTCGCTCAGCACTGCAAGAGATGAAGAGGGGGAGCCTTGGAGATCTGTGACGGTGGTAAAACGGTAAAAGGCTATAGAAGAACTCACCAGCGTTATCAAATAAACCAGTGTTGGTTGAACCTCTAGGCCAGCCACTCTGTTGGGGGGAGGTACCCCTAGCACCGCTCCTCCCCTAACCCTCGACATGACGCTAGCTCGACTAACCCGCCCTCGTCCTGGGTACCGCCCCCGAGACGAGGGCGCCCTTGATCGGTTTACTTCATCTATGTGTTCAGGTGGCACGCCCGAAGGTCAGCTGCAGCTGAAGGAGTGTGGCGAGAAGGTCGCAAGATGGTGATGGCGAGTGAACCCTCGCTGGGGGCGCGCGAAGCTCGCTGCCAGCCACGGAAAGGGACCATTCCGTCAGCAATTGGGCCCAGGGGTGGTTGGCTGATGAAAGAAGATTACCGCCATACCCCAGGTTCTTATATAGCGTTTATCTGCTAGGGTCTAACCCTAATGTAATTCCACCGCGTCTCCGGGTATGGCCTATAAATGCCCGGAGCGCTCGTGTAAGAGACGGGTGAAAATTTTCAGACAAATTAATGAGCATTTAATCCACATTTTTCCATCGCCTCGCTTTCCTGTACCCTTGCTTATCCCTTCATGACGGTCTAGTCCTTCACCTGTGGGAAACCCTCGGCCTCTCCCCCCTTGTCCCTCAGTGAGGGCGAGAGGCTAGGAGTGATCCCATAGTTGGCACCATCCGTCGGGACCCCAGTCCACCATTCCTCGAAAGCAATGGCAACAACAAGAAGAAACACCCAAAGGGACCCACCCCCACCATGAGGGGCGAACCCAGCGGTGAGAACCTCCACAAGCGGAGCCGGCAGGACTCCGGTACTCCAACCCGCCACTCAACCGACGAGAACACTGCTCGAGTCAGAGGGGGCCGAGGTAGCCGGGGCTGGAGCCAACCCCCAACCCAAACCGTCTAGGACGGAAGAAACCAGCCACGTATCGGAAGACGACGACGAAGATGCAGAGGCGAGAGGCCTCGAGGCCCTAAACCAAATGCATGAGGAGCTCTAGGAGAATAGACGTCGAGTCGAAGCGCACAAGAGGCAGGCACGCCTGCAAGTGATAAGGCAGAAGGCAGACAAAGCCAGGGAACAACTCAGGCAAATTCATGAGTACCTAGCTTCAATCGAAGCTAACCCAAACTATCTACCTGAACAACAAGACTTAACACCTCAGCTCCACCCAATCCACCTCTGCTCCACCCAAATCCACCTCCACTCCATCCGAACCCACCCCCCACCACCACCACCTCGTTTTCACCAGATCTACCCAGAATACATTCCCCCAGTCGTACAACACCACTACAGAAACCAACCTCCGCCAATACCATATGACCCGAAATCCCCATTGACCTAGATACTCTAAACCAGAAACTGGCCGCTCGAGTACAAACCACACAACCTACCAAGGTACGACGAAAGCATAGACCCTCGCCAATTTGTAATGAGCTATGAAGCAATAGTGGCGGCAGCAGGCGGGGATGAGTATACCATGGCAAAATCCTTCATAATTATAGCAAGGGACATTGCCCAAAGCTAGGACAACAACCTCCCACTAGGCTCAATAGATTCCTGGGGGAGTCCCGCGAAAAGCTGTGCAACAATTTCAAAGGTATCAGCCTTTCGGCAACCAATTCCATAGAATTATTCACCTGCACTCAAGCCAAAAGAGAACCCCTCCAAGACTTCTGGCGAAGGTTCGTCCAGCTTAGGGAGAGGACACCAAACATAATAGATAATGTAGTGATCCTAGCAGCAGTCAATGGTGTAAGACCAGGGCCATGTTCCTCGAGACTCACGCAAAAGCCACCAAAAACCATCGCAGAGTTGCATGAGGTCATGGAAAAGTACATCAGATCAGACACCGTCTTCCGTTCGAAGACCGAGGCTTTGAAACCTCAAACGTGTCTGCCTCCGAGGCCACCACAGCGCAACCAGCACCCTCACGACGAACCAATCAATGTCAATACCATAGAGACCGCACCTCCGCAATGCCAAAACAGCAACCAAGTCCAAGATCTCAATAGACCCCTGCCAATAGCCAGAATGACAACAGAGACAATACCCAAAGCAAACCCAACCCAAGAGATCCAGCGGAGCTATACTGCCATTTCTGCGGACCAGGCAATGGCTACTCGACAAAGGAATGTGCATGTTTCGCGAAGGGAAAAGAATATCAAGAAGCATAGCAAGCCGCTGCTTCAGGCCCACCAAAACCTGTTAACTACACAAGGAGACAACCCACCCCCGCAACTACTCCATACCAATACACACCAGTAAACTATGGCATCCCCTCACAACAACATCCTCAGCAATACCCAACCTTCATTGGCTACAATCCCTCCTATCATCATTACAACACCTACGACAACACACAACCATCATACGGCTACAACAATCACCCCAACAGCCAACCATACATGGTTATTCACCCATCCACCCCACCACAAATACAAAGCCATCACCTAGCCTTACCACCACCACCCCTGCCACCACCAACCCAGCCGTAGCAATAGCAAGTAAAACCAGAACCCGCGAGCCAACCCATTCAAACAACAATCAACCCAGTTACAACCTTCGGTGTAATACTCGCAATCACCGGAGGATCCAACAACGATCACGGCAACAAGAGACAGCACAAAGATCATATGATGTGGTACACCACCTAGCCACCGAAGGGCCACACAAGAACTCATAGTGGTCTCACATCCCAATAACCTTCGATAGCACGGATCTCAAACTAAAAGACTACCTCACATCGCTGCCATGGTCATCGAGACAAACCTGGCTGGTTGGGCAGTAATAAGGATCCTGGTCGACACTGGCACCTCCACCGACATCCTATTTGCTTCAACCTTCGACAACATGAAATTAGACAGAAACCTTCTCCAGCCGGCTGGACGTCCGCTATATGGATTCGGGGGCAAAGTCACACTCCTAGTAACCTTCGGTGACCAAAGCAACAGCAAGACAGAGCACATAACCTTCGATGTGGTTGACATGCTATACAACTACAATGCAATTTTTGGCCGAGGGGTCACAAACATATTCAGCATAATCCTTCACCTAGGCTATCTCTGTATGAAACTGCCCTCTGCCAGAGGCGTCATTATCATGTACAACAACCAAGACCTCGCTAGAATAGCAGAAGAAACAGCCACCCTAGGGCAGAAAAATGTACACAACCTAGGAAAATAAAAGCCAAAAGTCAAGATACCCTCGCCAAACAAACCAGAACAACAAGTCAGGGCGAAGCCAACAGAAGAAAC